TGCTGAGCTAATATTTTCGTCAGTCTGCAGCATTGGTCTTGTGTAGTGTTTGGTGAACTATTGTATAGTTGCACTTTCCCTGTGTACTTCCTTTACAGTACTCTAATCACTGAGAATTAGACTTGCTAAAAGTGTTTTAGGTTAGCAACAGCAGTGTGTAACCGGTTCAAAAAGATTAAAGTCATATGAAATGTGTGTGTGTTTCGTATGGTAACAAAATATTGTTTTTATAAAGTTGTGTATAGTTTTGACAAAAGTGTTCCATTTTGCAAATGATCTGAAGTGTTGTGCTACTTTGGTGTAGGGTTGTGTTAATTGTGTGTAGTGTTTTGACAAACCGGGCCCTGTTTTCAAAATTGTGCTTAAGCAATTGTAAAAGAACCAAAGACTTAAACTACTTCAGTCTGTGTGCATTGAATTGATTTAATACACGAGTTTCACAATTTGAGTTGAATTACTGAAATAAATGAACTTTTCCACGACATTCTAATTTATTGAGATGCACCTGTAGATATTTTTTTCTGTAACTACATGCTCTGCATGCTGTGTTCTCCATTTTATTTTGTAGTGTGTGTAGCGAATCAGCTCATGGGAAATATGAATAATTAACCATAACTAGTTATAATTAACTATTCATATTTTAGATCCACTGTAGATATTTAGCTGACCACTCAGGGTCAACCGTCTTGTCAATTCTAAGAACGTTAATTTCCTGGTTAAAGGAAATAACTTTCTTACTGTACAACTCTATAAGTTTGTAACGTAAATCTGCATGATTATTGACTCCGGTTATGAGTAAACAATGAACACGCCAAGTGTGATACAAGTAAGGTTTTATTAACTACATAAAAACTTAAACTAGTCTAACATACTACACAAACACATTAAGCCGGTCTAACATAAACATACACACACACACACATACAGTTGGTATAGGAAAGGGTTAAAGTTTAGCACTAAAGAAAGAGACATAAGGAATGACATTTATGGAACCATTTTGCATATTCAGCAGATCTAAAACCTGAGGGAAAACGTCAGATTCTTAGTTCAAACAAACCTTGTAAAAAGGTGTAACTGATACTTAATGCATCAATTAAATCGACTAAGTTTGATACTTGCGTATGTCTGAAAAAGATTCCTGATGCAATCTTAAGGCCCCAAGATCTTGCTGAAGTTGGTTGATGAAAAAGAGCTAGTTTGAGTCAGAATCACTTGATGAATGAAAAGGACTAGGCCGGAGCCTGGCACGAGCTTTGGTATCCTGGAGCGTTTCTCACATCTTCATCTTAGCATCTCACTGAACCACCGAACAGGGCGGGTCACATGGAGTGTGGCCTTTTAAAGCCTGCAGAGATTCACGCCTCTCAAGATGGGTTCGTCCAATGAGGAAGGCTGAAATCCCAAGCGGGAGGTTGGAAATACTGAGGATTTTTATGACTCTTTGTCTGTAAGCATGGTATTTTGCATATGTAATTCGCTGGAGTGTTGAGGCACAAATTAGTACCGATTCTTAGAACATCAATATGTTGCAGAGGTATCAGCATGTAATATGCACTCTCAGTTAGATCATCCGAAGACGAATTCATAGATACTAGACATGGTAGAGTTACTTATATGAATGAGTGGTTTATCGTAAGCATGAATAAAAATAGTCTATAATACAACAGATTAAATACAACACAGCAATAATATACACAATGGCCTGAAGAAAATGGGTGTTCATTCAAAGAAGGTTTTCCTATGAATTAATTAGTAGAAAAGTCAGTTTCTCCTGTGCATTTGTGCCTTTCTTATGAGGAAAATGAGGGAGTTTATCCCCTGCATTCCTTTTAGGCCATAAAACCAGTGATATCAGCATTGGTTACCATGGAACCAGAGGCCTGTTCTGCCTTTCTGAGGTGTTAGGTGCATTTCGGGGGAAGGGTCCATAGACCCTCGTAATTGGCCATTTGGTTAGGTGATGGGGAGTTCGATATTATTTGTTAAATATAACAAAAAGTTGTGTGTCTGATTGGTCCAAATGCTACAAAAACTCAATTATCTTTTCGTCAGTCTGCAGCATTGGTCTTGTGTAGTGTTTGGTGAACTATTGTATAGTTGCACTTTCCCTGTGTACTTCCTTTACAGTACTCTAATCACTGAGAATTAGACTTGCTAAAAGTGTTTTAGGTTAGCAACAGCAGTGTGTAACTGGTTCAAAAAGATTAAAGTCATATGAAATGTGTGTGTGTTTTGTATGGTAACAAAATATTGTTTTTATAAAGTTGTGTATAGTTTTGACAAAAGTGTTCCATTTTGCAAATGATCTGAAGTGTTGTGCTACTTTGGTGTAGGGTTGTGTTAATTGTGTGTAGTGTTTTGACAAACCGGGCCCTGTTTTCAAAATTGTGCTTAAGCAATTGTAAAAGAACCAAAGACTTAAACTACTTCAGTCTGTGTGCATTGAATTGATTTAATACACGAGTTTCACAATTTGAGTTGAATTACTGAAATAAATGAACTTTTCCACGACATTCTAATTTATTGAGATGCACCTGTAGATATTTTTTTCTGTAACTACATGCTCTGCATGCTGTGTTCTCCATTTTATTTTGTAGTGTGTATATATTGACAGGCTGGGATCTGAAATTATTGTTTGATGTTGAGTACAGGTGAAATGTTTTTTTGTTGTTGATTGTTTGATTTTGCCAGAAAAGTCAGGGGGGAAACATGTACATCTACATTACAGTTTTTCTGAATTGCTAAAACACACGTTTCTTGAAATCATCATTCATTTTCTCAAAACCTTAAACACAAATCCGAATATTCAAACTAAATTCACAAAACCCCTAACTCTTCTGGCAAAATCAAACATTCGCTTCAAAACCATTTCACCTGTACTCAAAATCAAACAAAGCTTTCAAATCATACACACATTAGTCAATAATATACACACTACAGATCATTCATTAGACACTACATCCAAAAATGGAGAACACGGTATCCAGTGCATGTAGTTACAAAAAAACAACAACTATTTATTGCATTTAGTAAATGTATTGCAATAAAAAAACACACACAAACAAAAGAAATGACACCATATTTATGCTGCGGCACCCAGGGAGCAGTTGGGGGTTCAGTGCCTTGCTCAAGGGCACCTCAGTCGTGGTATTAAAGGTGGGAGAGAGCGCTGTACATTCACTCCCCCCACCTACAATCCCTGCCGGTACGAGACTCAAACCCGCAACCTTTTGGTTACGAGTTCAACTCTCTAACCATCAGGCCACGGCTTCCCCAAAAAATATTTCAGGGGAGAGCGCGAACGCAGTCCCCCACTACCATAAATTATGCATTCCCACATTTGGGAGCCTCGCCCTGGGTGAACCACCTTCTTGATCATGGTGTCTCCCCTGCCAGGTAAGTATGGGTATGGTGACCCATACTCAGAATTAGTGCTCTGCAGTTATCCCATCCAAAGTGCACACACACAGCAGTGAGCACACACCTGGAGCAGTGGGCAGCCATTTATGCTGCGGCGCCCGAGGAGCAGTTGGGGGTTTGGTACCTTGCTCAAGGGCACCTCAGTCGTGGTATTGAAGGTGGGAGAGAGCGCTGTACATTCACTCCCCCCACCTACAATCCCTGCCGGTACGAGACTCAAACCCACGATGAGCAATAAAGCTATACTGAGCCCCTTTATTAAAATACCTGGAGGTGAGGAATAATACAAAAATGGTCATATTCACTCAGTATTACTTAATCTAATTCACAAATATCTCAATTACAGTTAAGTAGAAATGAATTGTACTCAGTTGTGTTTTAGGCACTAAAACAGTCCAATACTTTATAGTCAATCAAATGAAATGCCACTTATTTTTAAGTGGCACATCTAGTTCTCTGTAGTGGTCTGTAAGATTGCAGCACTAGCAGGAAGGTGTAGGTGAGTGAAACAATGCACACAAATGTAAATAGAAATAGAAATGTGACACCCTTTTAGTTACATTTGTTGCAATGTGTCAGACTAATCAGCTACTCTGTTCATTAGATTTTTTAATGCTACCATTTTTGCAAAATATTCAGTGAACCACCATATGATGGCAGTGTTTAACCATTCTTATGATCTGCTTTTGGTCAAATTTAAATGCTTTTCGCATGATTGTGAGATATGACATACACAGACAGAACACCATCATATAAAGGACGTATATTCATTATAAAATGATATGACTTTAACATACAATATACAAAACAATATATACAATTAATCAACTTCTAGTTCATTGAAAAATTCATTATTTTTTGGAATAAATAATATCTGGTTTTGTTTTCATTATTTGTTGAATATCTCTGGTGAAGCAAATGGTACAATAACTACCCGGGGAGCAGTTGGGGGTTCAGTGCCTTGCTCAAGGGCACCTCAGTCGTGGTATTGAAGGTGGGAGACAGCTCTGTGCATTCACTCCCCCCACCTACAGAGTGAATGTTCAGCGCTCTCTCCCACCTTCAATAGTAACGACTTTCTACTTCGAGGACCTTGATAGAAATGTAGTGGAGTGAAAAGTACAATATTTGTCTTTCAAATGTAGTGAAGTTAAAGTAATAAGTTCCCATAAAAAATTATACGCAAGTAAAGTACAGATACTCAAAAAGTGTACTTAAGTAGGCTACAATACTCAAGTAAATGTACTCAGTTACTGTCCGCCGTGTGTGTGTGTGTGTGTGTGTGTGTGTGTGTGTAGTTAACATTACCTTTTAAGATTTGATTAATTTGAACCATTAACAATCATATAATTTATAATCAGTATATTCTAAATCACTTCCCATCCCCATACTGAGGACTTTTGGGTACCGAATGTATTATTTCAGGAGTCAGTTACTGAAAAATCTTTTCTCGAGGTTAATATTCTTGGAAGCACACCAGGTTATGTGTCTGTGGTGTGATGTGGTGGTGTGATGTTAGTGGGCGTGGTTGGGCTGAAGCAGTTCCAACTTGTCTTGCGGCGCATGTGAGTTGGGGAACCCGCGCTGGTGCATGAAGACTAGAGTTTATCCGGTAAAATTATACAACAATACCAGGTTGTTTTCCAATATGATGCTCTTCCTTGTATTAACGTGTTGGATTGGTAAGTCTTGTGCCGGTACTAGTTACTCTCACGGGTTAATGTATACTTGTTACATTTGGTTTGAGATGGGTGCTTTACTCGCGCACAGTGTTTCAATTTACAATGAATACTTTTTAAAGGCATTGCTGCTGGTGTTGATGAAGAGGATGATGAGATTGAGTCGCTAACCGTGACTGAAGGTGGAAACCTCACCATCTCTGTTCACATAGAGAAATCGGACGAAGACCCTCAGGTTTTGGTGACTCGTCTCAAAGGCTCCTCGCAGGAACCGATAGCGCAGGTATTCTGTCATAACGGAGCCTGTGCTCAGAAGTGCTGGAGACCCGGAGTTTCTCTCGTATCTGATGGAGAGAATACAACTCTGATCCTGATGAACGTCAGCTACAATCAAACGGGGCTTTACAAGGTCTGCAAACTGAGCAGTAGACAACCGCAAAACAAGATCTACAAGCTTACAGTGTATCGTAAGTATTATTCTAGCGTGTCGCGTTGTCTTGGACTTCCCGAAGTATCTCGCAGGGTCTTATGAAATCTGTTGTAGTAGTTGCATCATCATAATTTCGCAGGATAGCAAGAGGACAGCAGCATATATTTGGCCAGTTATGAGAGATATGTGTTTGTCTTGATGCATTCTGACGCATGCGGGCATTTAAAAAGTTTGGGAATGCATAATAAATACATTTCGCAAAGAACAGTTCCTGGTTTGTCTCCGGTGGGCAGAAACGACTTCTGAATCACAGCGTGCTGCTAAAATGTCGGTAGATATTTGTGCCGCAGAAGTAGAATAAGGAAGAAAGTTATGATTCAACACAATCAATGACTGAACTCGAGTAACCTAGGGCTTGCCAGTGAACTTGTCACATGTTGCGTCATGCGTGGGCGCGGACCTGACAGAGAGCACCGAGTCGGAGCTGCTTATGGTTATGTTGTTCTGTACAATAGCAGATCACGCAAAGTTTATGCAGCAAAATATAACGCAATAAAAAGCAATATATAGCCTAACTGTAATCGTGAAGTAGAAAAGGAAAGATTGTCAATAATGTAGTCCTCCTGACAAAATATTGCTGGAAAGCGATGGATGGATAGACAGATTAGTGATTTGGAATAGGGGTTTTCAATCTTTTAGATGCCACAGAACCTCAAATATGATCATCCTCATGCGGCACCCCAAATCTGAAATTTATGAACTTTTTTTTTTCTGTTCACTACAGTAGGTTACTGTACTGTTGATGTATTATTTATATGTTTGCTTAATTAATTGTTTATGTACTTATGCAGATATTTTTTTATTATTTATAACTTTTACATTTATTTTAAATTAAACTATTTAACTTATTTTATCCCATATTGCTTTTCTCTAAACTTCCACCATTCCTCTAGAACTCTTTCCTTGTGCATATATGCATTTTAACCTAAATCGTGGAAATCCATGTACATTTATTACAGGTATTTGTAAGAATTCACTCACATTTTTTGTTGGGGTTGTTTCTTACAGAGCCTCCACTCAGGACCATCAGCACTGAACAACCAGCATCTGCCGTGCACAGTAAATCATTTACTGCAGGCATAAGCACAGCTGCAGTGGTCCTCGTTTTACTGGTCATCATTTGTGCTGTTACTGGTGTCATTTATAGGAAACATGAAAAGGCAAGTATCATTGCAGAGCAATTTATCTTAACCTGCCTCGTCCTAATTTGATGCTGCATTCAAAAATATCAATTAAAACTATCCATCATGTACATTTTACAAAGTAAGAATGAAGATAGTAAAAAAAAACATAAATGTATCAGCTTAAATGCAAAATAACAAAAGCAGTCAAAAGTTTTAAGTATTGTTACTGAAGATTGTACATTTGGTTAGACTTCTCTGAATAAAGACATTTACAACAGTGTATTTCTTAAAATCTGCATAATCATACAACAAAATGTCTTCAGAGTAAAACTGGTTATGCAGAATTGTCAGTTGATTGGATCGAAAGATAGAAGCAGAACCAAAACAGTTGAAAGATAAAAAAAGATTTTAAAAAAACGTTTTTATCATCTTAAATGCTTTCCTTTCTGTTTCTTACAGTACGTGTGTTGGCTAAACTGATTCTTGTGATGTAACAACAGAAAGTAAACATACAGAGAAAAACATTTGCATCTCATTAAAGAAATGATCAGATTTTATATTAGTGTCCCTAATTATCATTAACTGTGAGATGTGCTAATTAACTAAATAAAACTAGTAGTTTTTTAACTAGTTCTAACATTCTAAATCCCAACACACAAAAATGTGCAAAAAATACAAGTATAAAAACATTTTGTGTATATTGTTTTAACAATAAAAAAGTGCAGCAATGCACAGTATAAAACTCGAATATGGGCACTAGTTACCAGTTAAACACTGGTTAACCAATCAGTCAAGGAACTATTTTTACCATGACTCTTAAAATTACTTTAATTTGTTTCATTGTCAAATTGAATCATATATTTTATATATATACACAACAGACCACATAGGAATAAGCCTCTTTGTTATAATAGAAATTCCTTTTTTTTTTTCAGAGTACATAATCTAAATATTTCATACTGCTGTACATGTTACAGAACTTATTTGTTGTTTTAGTTTTATAGAAACTGGTTCACAGTTATAAAATACAACAGAACCAAAATATATATTTTAAGAGTGAAAATGGAAATGGCAATTACACTGAATCTCACAAAAGTATCACCATCACACAGAAGCAGCAGCTCTTCTCCGAGATGAGCAGAACCTCAGATTCTCAATAAGAAACCCAACAGTGGTGATTCCCACCAGACCAGACAGAAGCAGACGAATCAGAGCCTCAGTGGAGCCACAGTGATCCAGACAATCTGAAAGAGATGAGACTTGTCCATAAACATCTTCTGTGCCGTTAAATGTCTTTGTGAAAACAACAGAGTTTATTGTGGCAGGAAGAGAGTTCTATGGTAAATGTAGTTGTACCTTCCTGTCGTGGGCAGATCTCTTTCTTGTGAAGAAGGATGCTCTTATTGCTCACTGGATTCACAGCCGTGCAGCTGTAGGTCTCTGGATCGTTATAATGAAGCTCTAATGGTAAACTGAGGTTGATGCTGAGATCAGGATTGCTGGTCTGATTCAGCATTTCACTCCCTTTATACCACGAGATAGACACGTCTCGATCATTTTTCACAGAGCAGATCACAGAGCAGAAATCCTCTGTTTCCTGTTGTGCACCTGAAAGACATTAAAGACACTGACATTTCTACTGCTATCATAATTTACAAAGAGACCAACAAACTGCATCATATCAAAACTGCTCAAATGGGTGTAATTTTTTCTTTAGTATTGTTGCAGAAGTTCTGGAATCATTTTATGGAAGCTTATTTCCACCATGGAATAAAAATATAAAAAGGTAATTGTGAGTTTTACATCTCACAATTCTGACTTATTTTCCCAGAATTCCAAGTTTCCGTCACACAATTCTTAATTTTCATCCAGAATTCTAAATTTACATCTCGCAATTCTGATTTTATTTCTCAGAATCTGAAGTTCACATCGCACAGTTCTACGTTCTTTCTCAGAATTCTGAGTTTACCTCTTGCAATTCTGACTTTTTTTATTTTACTGGAACCACATACACATGTAGAATTCAATTGCAAGTTATAAACTCGGAATTCTAAGAAAAAAGGCTGAGTTATAAACTCGCAATTGAGAGATCAGAATTGTAAGCCACAAAAGTCCATGGTATTATTTCAGATAGAAATCATAAAGACAGACCTGTTGATTGGTGCACACTAACTGATGAGCTACTCCTGATGGCAGGTACAGAGACGGGTGCTTTAGGACAAAAGGAAACATGCACATCACCTTAAAGCCATATCTCCCTTAAAGAGGCCAGCATTGCAGTGCAATAATCACTATGGAACCAAATCTTATCAATTATTATCCTATAATTTACATGTTATTTTTAAACAGAGGCTGCAGCTGTATCTTACCATAAACATGGACTTTGTATCTCCGTCCGGTGATGTGTGCACCGGTGATTATTAAGGATTCATACAGTCCAGACTGATTAGTCCTGATGTCTGTGATGGTTAAGATTCCAGTTTTTTGGTCTAACTGCACACTGCCAGTGAATTGCGTGTTATAATGAGTGTAAATTTTCCCTTGATGCATCTGTGCGACACGAGTATTTTGTCTGCCACTTTCAAACGACCACAGTATCTGAACGTCTCCCTTTAGATCATCAACTCCAGGTTGCAGACTGAGAACACCTCCCTCCATCACTTTAACTGTTTCAGCATCATCAACATCTCCACCCACTGAAACAATATGAAAGCAGGTGAAATATACAGGTAAACAAATGACTAATATGGGATTGACAATAACACCTGTTGAATTTCAATGGTTTAATGTTCTGGGCAACCAACAGTTCACCACATAAACACACTGCGGTCGACACAAACCGTGTTTAATAGTACAGTCCAGGTCATTTATATTTTCATGCATACATTTCAGTAAATGCAAATTATTAATTTTACGGGACCTTTTGAATCACAGATGTGAATTATTTTATCTATAAAACAGTGCATGGTTGTCTAACCATTTCATATTGGATTTGTTGAAATCTCCCAAAATCCATTGCAGCATGCATGAAGTATGCGATTACTATTATAGGATGACTGTTTTTGAAACCATAGACTTAGATGCAAGATTCTTCAGAGAAGATTGTAGAGTTCATTTCATATTAATTGTCTTAACCAGATTTAAACTTGAAGTGTGGTATAGTGGCTAAAAATCAAGACTGCCTGACCGACAAACAACTGATTGAACAATGATAAGGTTTTGAATTAATAGCAAGATCTTTGATTTCTTCTTTTCATGCATGTTTGTATTGCAACACTAGCAGGTCTGCGGTTTGACAGAACATGATCTAAAGAGGGATAAAGGAAGTCTTTTTGCGGTTTCAGACAATGCTGCATAAAGGACAGAAGTTGTTTCTTTACCTTGAAAAGTGAAACCAACAGCAGAAATGAAAATATGGCACTCTTTAGTTTAACACATAAACAGATGCAATTTTTTTCGAGAAATTACAAAAATGATTAAAATTAAAGGATTTTCTTTCCATCCTTTCTTTCTTTCTTTCTTTTTCTAAATTTAGCTTTGAATGTAAAGAGACAGAGTGTGAGCCAGCAGGAAATGGTTATGTCAGTGTTTCCACTAAGGTGACTTGTGTATAATATTTAAATATTAGATTTTTTTTTTTCTGATTTGTTGATGTCATGGCAACATCAAGAAATGGATTGCCACAACTTGATTCCACAGCTGACTTATTCTAAATTTGACTTACAAAACAATGACTAAAAAGAACAGCCAGAACATTCATATACTGTATATTGTTATAGATTAGACTTGTTATGAATTGTGTATATTTACTAAAGATCAGAAATCAATCATTTATACTGCTTACTGAACAGGCCAAATGTTCTGCTGCATTTTCTCAAAAAGTTATGCAACGTTATGCATGGTTATGCAAGTCATAAGAATATTTGCTTATCCGTGAGTGTTCATATACTAGCATGAAACTGTGGCTTAGATTTGCCAGACAGACACATTTTAAAGTGTACATATTGAAACCTTTTGTATTGAGGATAATTAAATACAATTCCAATGAAAATATGCATGTAATGTGTGTCATCTTACCCTCCACACAGATGAAATATAAGATGAAAGCCCACATACTGGTGAATGTATTGGTTGATATTGCGTTGAGTTGTCCTCTCGATGCACCTGAAACTCAACTGAGCAGATGGACTTTTGAGGAAGTGACCTGCAATGACATCAGTGACATGGCTTCCACCAAAAGAGGGCAGTGCTGTACTGAAAACTGGCTCTCAAACACCTGTCCACTCACCTTTATAACTTTTTCCAACTGATGCATATGTGCATTAATCTGTTTAGACACCGAACAGGCAGACAGATGTGCAGGAAACATAATTAACCTTCTTTTTTTCACCAGAAATTAATTCACCTGGTAATATGTTAGCGTTTCTACTAACTTTATTATTTTTTATGTAATCATTTTTTCCATCTTTAATAAAAAGCCTTCAATTATGTCTGAGGGACAAGACAACAGAACAATGAATGCCAGACTGTTTTGCAAAAGGCGTGTTTACATAAATAGAGGAAAAATACTAGAACCACATTTATTATATTAAATTGCATTTGTTAGTTTTTACTTTTTTTGTGCTATGGATTTCTTTTCTTTTGGAATATTTTTCGTTTCTTTCTTTCTTTCTTTTTTTGCAAAAGTCATAAACAAAGAAATAAACGTTTTGCCCTTTTAATCTTTAATCTTTAATTTGCCCTCAAATTAACTTTTAAAGGGAAGTAAATTTATTTAAATTTGTAAATAAAACATTCCACAATGCTGCATATATGCTGTAGTACTCCTTTTTAAAGTAAATACATTGTCTTCTTTGTTTTCTAACTGTTTTCATATTTGGATGATAACTGGATAGCTGATTTACCGGGAAAAGGTTGAGGTGGCGGGAAAACAGAGTGCTCAAAAAAACGCGCGAAGAAGTGACGACGAGACGTGAGAGCCGTTACTAAACTACATCGCTGCCGTTTGAAGGATTATTGGCGTCTTGGATTTCTACATAGATTGTGAATGGGTTTTATCGTTAGTTCGTGAGTAGCCTACTCTGAAACACACACCAAAGTTTTGAAAAACATGGGCGGTGCTGGCGGGCCGACGGTTTATTTATATGTTTTATTTTTAAAATGACTGTTGTCTACGTGTTGTACTTATGAGGTAATTTCTGTCACATCGAAA